TTCTGTATGTACAAATAAATAAATCTTTAAAAAAAAAAAAAAGCAATTCACAATTAAAATTGCCTCTAAAGATTTAATGACCACATTTAATAATCACAACTAATTACATTTAACAGGGTATTTTTCAATTCTCAAACCTTTGCCTATATGTCACATTTAACAATCCAGCAAATAATATTCTTAAAAATTCAGGAATTTTCATAATTTTGTGAGGGAGTTTGCTCCCTCTCAGAATAGTTTAGAAAGCAATACAAATAGCCTAGTAAACAAATTGAGGGTGAGGGTCCATTAAAGTATAGCTTTAAAAAAGCTATACTTTACCACCCACACACATTAAAAATAGTGCCCAACAACATGATCACGCTCTAGGAATGTAAGCGCTAGTTCAGTTCAAGCTAATTCCCCTCTTCATGAATCAAAAGTCAAATGACTGTTTTTTTTCATTTTATGTAATATAGTTTGTATAATCTAATCACAAAATACCCAAAACCTATTTTAAATAATAGATAAGAATCCAATCATAGCAACTGAAATTAATTTCAAATTAGAGCATAAACAACTTCTCCAGTTATGAATTGCTATCTTGATTAGCATGTAGCCATCCTTCTGTTTTCATGATTTTAGATCACAGCTTATGCTTACACTCAAGACTATGTTTTTAAGAATAAAAATGCATAGGCCTATAAAATTCAATCAGCTGCTCATAACATTTTCAAAGTACAGCCTTACCAGGGGGACGTCACCTAGCAATGAGATTGATTTTTAAAGCACTCTGGCCCCTGACTCCTTACCTTGACCTCCTTAGAGCTACTGGAAGTCTTCCCCTCAGTCTTCTTCTGTTTGGATGTGGATGAACTGCTTTTGCTGCTACCACTATTCTCCTTGTTGCTGTTACTACTTGACTTTAAGGAAGAAGACTGACTAATAGTCCTCTTCCGAGAGCCATGCTCTGTTTTTGGATCTTTTGAGGGAACAGGTCCAGCGGGAGAAGGCAACAGGTCCTTTTCTTTTGTAGCACTCTGCTTAGAAGACCTGCCAAACCAAACAAATTCCCTCATTTCCCCACACAGTCATATAGGGCTGATGAATTTTTCCATTTCTCTTTGCTTTCAAGACAAATTTGTTTTCCCAATTGGGTTAATTAGAGACATGATTTCTGTAAAACAGGACTATAAATTCCAAGCAGGCAGGCATTTTGTCTGGTTTCCCCACTACCCTTTAGTCAAATCCAGGGCCTAAACTTTGGCATGCCACACAAGTATTTCCGGAAATATTGATTGAGCAAATGTACAAACAGGAACAATGAGATAAATGGCACGCAAAAAATATTTCTGCACTGAAAAAGAAAAATTCCTGCTCAGAAGTCAGTAATGCTCTTCCAAGTTATAGGTAAGCTATCTGCAGTAATTCTTGCCCCTAATTCCACTAAAAAAAAAAAAAGAGGAAATGAGTGAATCTTAGATGCCTTCCATCCCTATTAGCCAAAAGCAGAAGCTCCCACTATTTGGCATATGTCCGTGTGTACATGGATATGACATGTACTTACTAAAGAAATATTCTAAGAGCACAATGGAAAAGTGTCCAATAGCACATGACATACATATTATTAACACATATGCAACATATTTAGAGGACATACTCTCTGTTGCTAGATGGCTTGTGGCCTCCTGAATTCTTGTCCTCTGTTTTGGGTTTCTTGCTCTCACTGGCTCGGTTATCATCTTCATTCTGAAGGAAAAATAGAAAAAAGCAGTGATCAGGTTTGATTTTTATTCACTGAACTTCAGTGCCCAGTACTAGGCACACCCAAATGGTTTATCCTTGATTACCTTCAGAAAGAAGGTAATTAATGTATATTTAATGCTCAGTAAATTAGGTTTTTTATGGTTAAGAAGACTATTATCTTAGATATCAAATATCAAAACATATTTCCTAGTCTTTTAGATGGCATTTTTCAGGATAATGCTTTATTTAGGGGGATGCTAAGAAATAATAGTTAAGATAAAATTCACATTACCTAAAGATAAAATTCATTCTCTAAAAATACTCCATTCGATGGTTTTTAATATATCCAGCATTGTACAAGCATCACCATAATCAATTCTGGGAATTTTTTTCATAAAACCAAAAAGATATTTTATATCCAAGAGCAGTTAATTTCTTACTCCTTTCATCCTCAAACTCTGACAATCACTGATCTATACATTTATTTCCTTTATGAATGTGCCAATTCTTAACATGTCATATAAATTCAATCATAATATATGTGGCCTTTTATGTATGGCTACCTTCAATTACCACAGTATTTTTCAGATTCATTCATGTTGAAGCATGTATTAGTACTTCATTTCCCTTTTATGACTGAACATATTCCACTAACGTCAGCTATTCATCAATTCTGAGCCATTTGGGTTGCCTCCAAGTTTTGACGAATATGAGGTAATACTGCCATGAATATTCATTTATAATTTTTTGTATGACATGTGCTCTTTCTTTTGGATATACACCTGAGAGTGAAACTTCTGGGTCATAAGGTAACACTATCTAGCCTTTTGAGGAACTGCCAAACTGTGTTCCAAAGTGGCTGTATCATTTTGCATTTCCAGCAGCACTGTATGATAATCCTAATGCTGCTTACCTTACCTTCACCAATACTTTCATTGTTTGTCTTTCTAATTTAAGGTTTTTTTTTTAATGTCCCAACTGAAACAAAAGCTGGGAGCCTATTCCTATAACTTGCCAGTGTTACTTTTCTGAGTGAATCTTAGTTTTCCAGTTTCCTTAATATCAGGACACAAAATTGCAAACATTCTGCTGTAAAAAAAAAAAAAAGAATGTGTTCCCCTACACAAAAGATTAAAGATGAATGTGAAAATCTGAGAAAAAGGAATCTTTTTATTACCCTTGGGTAGATACTCCTTTCAGCAAGACCTGATTTATCTTCAGGAACTGACACTGATAGTTAATTTTACCAAAGCCAAAAATCTAGTATATTTTTAGAATAAACATTACTTCCTTTTTTCAACAATGCACCCAAGCAGACAAAGACGTAGATCTTTGTAAAGGCCCTAAAAGGAAGGACCATAGTCCCTGAGGCTGATCCCAGTGACACCTTAACTGAGAATGTTAAGGTCAAAATTCAAGACAAGGAGGGCATCCCACCTGCCCAGCAGCACTGGATTACTGCTGGTGAACAGCTGGAGACTGGAATCACTCTCAGAATACAATATTGAGAGTCTGCCCTGCACTTGATGCTGCACCTACAGAGCGGCATCAGCCAGTTGTCCTTCCACCCACTGATTCCAAGTATAGTTGCAACAGGGTGATCTGCCACAGTGTTATTCTCACCTGTACCCCCGAGCTGTCAACTGCCCCCATAAGTATGGACATGTGAGTGACCTGCCATCTCAAGGAGGTCAGGTAAGACCTTTGCTTCCTTTGCTCATAAGTTGGTACCCTTCCCAAACCCCAAGCCCTTGGGCCTCAATGAAGTTTCCCTTTTACTGACTGGAACAGTAAAAATAAACAAATAAAAATTTACTTATAGGTATTAATATAAGAATTGTGGAAGTCACATATGCCAATGAGATGTGGGTACGGTGAGGCCATATGAGGCACTTCTCTTAAAGGAAGTTGTTTTAAATTACAAATTATGTATGTTGTAAATTTTTAAGTAAAAAGGACTTTATTTTCTATATAATATTTTAAACATTTGAATTTTTAAAAAAGATTTATTTTTATTTATTTATGCATACAAGACCGGGGGTGTAGGTTGGAGGTGTGTGTGTGTGGGGGGGGGTTTGGGGGGTGAGGAGTGAGAGGATTCATTAGAGACAGAGTGGGGAGCAGAACAGGCAGATATACCTTAATACACTGCTAACAGGAGCAGCTGGTGAGACAGGAAAGGTCTGCTGCACCATGTGGGTCACCTTCCTGGCCAGGAATCGATCTTATGCTGCAGTGGCTGCTGACTTGATAGTACTGAGACTTTAACACTACCACCACCAGGGAAACCCCCAGCATTTGAAAATCTTATAAAGAACATGTAATACTTTATAAGTACAAAAAAAAAAAGATAATTTTGTTCCATAAAAAGCATTTCAAATTTTCCAAAGAGCAGAGCTCTCATATACAAGCTCTTATTCCATGTAACTCTATCATGGATTAGATCTCATAACCAAGTCTGACTATTCCAGGCTATGGGTTAAAGGGCCCTAAACAGCTTACTAGTTTTCTAAAGCACCCCTATACTACACAGTGGAACTTCATTAGTTTACCATTAATGAAAGTAGTAGGCTTTAGTTTTTAAGACATTCAGTCTTCTAATTTGTTCAACTATATATTGTTATCCTTACAAGTACTATGGTGCTAAGGAGAGAGGAGGAAACTCTGGCTTACTTCATTTTAAGAAAATACCATACTCTTCCTATCTAATGTTCTGAAGTTCAACAAGGATTGGGGTTTTGTTCTGAACCTACCCAGTGTAGCCATTCTGGTGCCCGCTCATACTTTCAGTACTTTGAAATCCCATTCAAACACTCACACATATGAATAGGGAAATTATACTACTGTTCTATTCAGATTATTAAAATGAACTTTTCTCTAAAAATTCCTCACTGGAGCTGGAAGATCAAATTATTTCTTCCAGAGTTTTCATCTGCTTAAGTTGTTTACTTCTTTTCATTATATCTATTACCTTGTAATCACAGACACTGTATGTTTTCATATTTCTTTGCTTCCAAAAGCTGTGTGTTTCATGTCTTACATGATTAGAAGCCATCCTACTTTATAAAAAGAGGCAGAGACACACACTGGTCCTCTAGAATGCACTCTTTGTAGTTGCAAATGGACTTTGGACACATCGTCTATTTTCCCTCAGCAAAAACTCAGTTATTTTTGGCTTTCTGAGATTTCTACAACATTTCAGATTCTGATGTTTAAAAACAACAACAAAGCCCCTTTACTAACCTTATGCTTCCTTTTGCCCTTATTACTGGAAACTTTTTCCGAGGTTTGTTTCTGAGACTCTCTTGTGTGCTTTTCTGGCACATTTTTCTTTTCCCCCTTGGGTGGCTCTGCTTCTTTGTAAGGCTTTCCTGGTATTCTGGTCAAGAGATTCAGGTCAATCTTCACAATAAGTGGATACCTGTCATCAGGCTCACTGAGGGGTGAAAGAAGTTCCTTCTCTTCCATAGGAGAGAACATTCGTTGCCGAAAAAAGCTATCTTCTTCCTCCACTGAGGAGGGCTTAACGGGAGTCCTATTACTTTCAGGGTACTTAGGAGTTTGTGAGGAAGGAGGAAGGCTCTCGCTTTCATCCGAATCTGAGGATGAGGTATCTGTTTCTATGATTTCCCTTGATTTCTGGGAAGATTTACTCGCTGACTTGTATTTCTTTTTCTCGGTTGAAGGTCGAGGGGAAGATTTGGACTCCTTTTTAATATTGGGTTTACGTGAGCCTTTGGTGGCTGCTTTATGTCTGCTGGAAGGCATGCTAGTAGCCATGTCCACAGGGGTTTCACTTTCTATCTTCAGGCCTCCACGAGGCTCTTCAACAGCTGCCTTCTCAGCCTTTTTGGGTTGTTTCTTGCCTACAGTCCTCCTCTGTGTTGTGCTGTCACTCTGTGCAGGAGACTTTTGTCTCCCTCGCCCACTTTCTGATCCCTTCTGGACAGTTTTGGAGTCTCGTCCAGGAGTAGCAGAACTCGTTTCTTTAGGTGCACTTGGATCAGTGTAACTATTCCCTGTGCCCTGTTCTCGGCCTTCCTTTTTATAGCCTTGAGACGATGGAATATTACTGTCCACAGATGAAGCTGGTGATACTTTATGGGGGTTCACTTTATTCAACCAATTATCAAGCTGCCATTTGTTTGTTGGTGGTGGTTCAGGCTGTAAAACGGAAGTATGCTTTTTTCAATAACCGTATTATATTCTTTATATTCTCAAGGAAAAAATACAATCTCTAAAGCCACAATTGCATTTGTTTTTCTTAGTTCTGACTACACCAAAAAAAGTACTGAATATTAGCTATAGCCTAATCACTTGAGTGAGAAGTTTAATATTATAAACGACCTTTAAATTTAACATTCTTGTCATGAAATCAATTTCTATAACAAAATTACAAACAATACAGTATATTTGAGAAAATAAATGATGCAGAACCAGTAGATTTTCATTATCACATTTTATCAGCCTACAGTAAAATTACACTATATGAGATGCTTCCTATTCACAATAACTATGTAACATGTATTACCATTCTGACAGACAAAATAAAGCCCAAGCTAAGTAAACCCATTATTTTTGTAACCTGAATATGACCTCAATAGTTCCTAATCTAGACCAGAGATTTGTTAATTAACAATGAAAAGCAAATATCTAGGTTTCCTCCAAAATACACAATTTAATTTCTATTTTCTCAAAAGAAGCAAGTTTCTTTCCCTCAACTTTCATATTTGAGCTAGATCTTAGTTGGCTGTAACCAGGGACCTTCAGAGTGTGTATGGCAGGTGCCCTCTGCTGTCCTCTCACCTCAGGAGATGCACTCTGGGATGGCTCATTTGCCTCACTGTCACTGGAACTACTTTCACTCTCTGAGTCAGATCCAGAGCTGCTTTCTGATCCACTGTGACTGCTAGAATCATCCCTTGAGTTATCAGCTCCTTCACTATTATGGTGTGAAGGTTCAGAGTTACTAAAAGACATAAAACAGGTAAAGTAACCAAAAGTTTATTTTCATAGTGACAAAACATTCATATATAACTAACTTTATTTAAAACATTTACTATTTGTTAAGCCGCTACAATTCTAGAACTTCATTATAAATGACAAACTTTTTGAAAAGTTCCTCAAATGCTATTCAGTTGTTAGTATTTACCGTTCAGCAATAATTTTACCAAGAGATAATTTGCCTAACATAAATTCACTCATTTAGAATATACAATTCACTGATTTTCAATTTACAGATTTGTGTAACTACCATCACAATTGACGGTATCTATTTTAATCAGGTCCACTATGGTATCACTACAAAGTATTAGCAGGCTGACCATTCCAAATAAAGCAAGAAATAAAAGGATATTTACCTTCCTGGTGTACTCCTTGGCATTGTCTTATCACAATCCTAAAATTCAAACATGAAAAGAAATGCGTGAATGAATAAAAGAGCACCCTATCAGCTTAATGTAAACAAGAGCTGAACTCTTAATAGAAAAACTGACTTGCCTGTGGTATGTATCAATATTTACTTAACATTTATAACACAATGCTTTTAACTGAATTGCCGGGGTAAGATAAAAAATTTTAATAGTTCTTGTCAACAATCTCATGAAAATGGATCATGCTCATATTCACAGTAAGTATATGGAAAAGTAAACTTTTTAAAATAAAAATAAAAAGAGGTTTTAAGACACAGCAGAAAATTGTAATGTTCCCATGTCAGAAAGCAGGAAGAAACTTATTCAACTAACTAGATCATAAATGTATTAATTATAATTCATATAAAATACAACATGAACAAATATTGGATGAGACTGGCAAAAATCATATAGGAGTAGACACACCTGTTCCCCATCACTGTCTTCGCTGCTGCTTAGTTTTAAGTCGTCTTTTAACATTCTAGAGGGAAAAGGCAAAAAGGATTATTGTTTTGGGGACAGTTTATCATGGCATACCAGAGTATTAAATAGCTACCAATAATTCTAGAAATAATCACTGTGGTAGCCAGAGATTGGACTGAAAACAGAGAAAAGAACAAGCAAGTTGTACCCCATCTGGTTTGGCTCCAATACATAATAAGTGAGTAAAAGGAAATTACCAATCTTGTAAATGCTATTTTCCATAAGTAAAATATATGTTTCTTGTGTAATTTTAAAAAAGCCACCCTTGGGCTCTCCCTGGTGGCGCAGCGGGTTAAAGCACGGCACTGAGAATCTAGAGCCGCTTCCGCATGGGTTCGATTCCTGCCCCGGAGGTGACCACATGGCGTGGCAGACATCTCCTGGCCAGCCCGCTGCTCCCCTCAGCAGTGTACTTCCATGATCTGCCTGTTCTGCTCCCTACTCTGTCTCTGGTGAAGCCTCTCACCCTCCGCAACTCTGGCCTGTACCCCAGTTCTGTATGAATAAATAAATAAATCCTTAAAAAAAAAAAAAAGCCACCCTCTATAAAGTCCTTAAACTAAAGGTATAAGTCTTTACTTATACCTTTAATTTTCTCTAATTACAAACACATGAACTTATTTATCATAAAAAGAAATTATCCAACTCATCCATAGGTTCACTCAAAAGAAGTATGATAAAATGAAAGCATAAGTTATTCTCTATCTCTGACCCTATCATGAAGAGAGATTTGTATAACTACTGGCAACTGGATAATTTGTGAAAGCCAGAACACAAAGGTCAACTGCATGTGTTAAAGTAACAATTGGAGTTAAGAACCTTATTTATATAACAGAAATGACAATGTGTGAATTAAAAAACCCAGGTTCCAAAATCACTTATGATCAAAATTCATAAGCTAATAGTTTCTGGAATTAGTGTTTGAATGTAAATATAAAAAGTTAAGTTTCCTTAAGGCTGCAAAATAAAAATAAAAATTAATATCAAAATCTCAGCATCACACCAAAGAACTTCTTGCCTTTATACAGGAGTAAACACACAAACAAAACAACAACAACAAAGCCTAGGGAGAACTGCAATTAGAAAAATGTAAATGTAAATTTCTGATTAGCAGTAGCTTCATTAAATTTCTGCATAATATTTCATGACAATCTCCAATTAGTGGGAAAGAAATTCTTCAGTCCAATAACTATTTGTACTGTTCCTCAAAGCTTAACAGTTTCTAAACCTAACCCCAAAATTAGAGTATTACATAAAAGATCACCTAGAAATAATCAGATAATGAGAGAATTAAGAAAAGGTTGGCCCAATTAAGCAGGACAGGAAAAAAATGTTTTCCTTTAGACAAGGACATTAGTGCATCTCCATGCTGATCTTTTGTAAAGAAATGTACTTACTCTGAATTCTCTCAGCTCTCTTTAATAAAGACAGCTTTATACATGTGAATATGTCAAAACTTTCACCAGGCTGCTCAAAGTCCTGCACACTTTTGTCTGCCATCAACCAAAGGGATAAGCACCTACAGAAGCTTCCCTTCATTTCCATGCATGTGAATAAATACTGAAAGTAGGAATACAATCTGAATTCTTCAGCAGTAAGAGTGAACTTTTAATAGTCATATGTTCTCAACTTCAAGCCTCCCTGTATGTAGTATAAATGATTACAAGATGGAGATTAATCAGAATATACTGTCTTTGCTTTAACTACTGAATTAACTTGTGTTCTCAGGAATTAACTTTTAAGCTGAAATTTGTTTTCACCTATTACACTATTATATTTTAATATATTCCTGGTTTTGGCCAAAAGGGAAAACTTACAGACAATACAACTATGCGATGTTAACATTTACATTCAGTGGCTATAAGGTAGGGTTGCCAAAAATGATGTTGACTTTTTAAAACATATTCTTTACTGAAAACAAGCTATGAATATATATACAAACCACACCTTATCTCAGAAAAAGGGAAGGCAAATCATGGCCCACAAGCCAAACCCAGACTGCTGTCTGTTGTGGAGAGAGCGACCGGACACCCCTGGCCTGCAGCTCCTTTCTTGCTGCACTGGCAGTGCTGACTAGTTGACAAAGACCTTCTGGCCTGTAAAACCCAATAGTTCTCTGCTTCTTTAAACAAATTTTGCCACTCCTGACCTTGTAAGATTAAATATAAATGCATTTCTAAATGTTATTCTAAATATCCAGACACTACAGATAGATTTTAGAGAATGAAAGACAATAAGCAGTAACTTACGATTTCGACTGGTGTCCATTTGAAGTTTTAGAAGAAGGATTATATCTTTCTAGAACAAAGAGAATGCAGAAATCAGCAAATGAACTATAAAATTTCTACAAAAATATTCTCAAAGAAATATAAACAAAATATAACTATTTATTCAGCAAACTGGTAATAGTTTACAATTTCACAGTATGAGATCTTGGTGGAAAGGGGCTTGCTCAAGTACTCTTGGTATGACTATAAATTCAGTATCCTTCTGGAGGATACTTTCTAGAGGATCTTGTAAATACTATAAATCCACATATCTATTAATCTAAAACTGTAACAAATGGAGTCTACCTTACAGATCTCTCTGGAAGACTATAAACCTACCTCTACACACACACACTCGAATGCTAACTATGGTATGGTTTAGAAGAGTAAAAGCTAGAAACAAATGTTCATCACTGATCAGGGACCTCCCTGATGGCACAAAAGGTTAAAGTGCAGCACTACAAAGCTAGCCACAGTCACTGAGGCACGACTTCAATCCCCAGACAGGGAGATGATACACATGGCACAGCAGACCTCGCCTGTCTCACCTGCTGCTCCCTTCAGCAATGTATTTAAGTAGATCCACTTGTTCTGCTCCCCATTCTCTTTGGTGAATCCTCTCAACCCCTGCAGCTCTGGCCTACACCCCAATTCTTGTTTGCATAAATAAATAAATCTAAAAAAAGGACACTGGTTGAATTATGGTACTTTCATACAATATAATACCAATTTTAATGTCAAAAATTGATTGCTATATTGATATAAAAATAGTTTTAAAATAAACAAAAACACAGGTATTAAAGTATAATCCTATCTCCCAAGATTGCACTGGGAAGGGAAAACGGGGGCTTGGAAGGAGCAAAGGATGAGATGTACTAATAAGAGAAAGAGAATTGCCATCAGGTCCTCCCTGGTGGCTCAACCAGTTAAAGCACAGTACTATAACGCCATCTGCAGCCACTGCAGCATGAGTTTGATCCCCAGCTAAGGAGCTGACCCACATGGTGCAGCAGACCTCTCCTGTCTTGGCCACTGTTCCCCTCAGCAGTCAATCCTCCTGTTCTACTCCCCACTCTGTCTCTGACAAATCCACACCCCGCACTCCTGGCTTGTACTAAAGTTCTTGTGTGTATAAATAAATAAAACTTAAAAGAGAGAGAGAGAATAGCCATGATCAGCTATGACCTATTCTTATTTAAAGTTTTATGACCACAGAACCAAGCACCTTCATGGTGCTTGGGAAGGCAGAAGAACGGTTCTTAGGTCTATGGGAGGTGACTGTCAAATTGAATTCATGACCTTAGAACTATTAGTTCAAATACTTAATAAAATAGTTAACTTTGATCTCCAGTAATCTAAAATTCTTTAGTTCTTAAGTATAGTAAGATCAAATTCATCCCAGTTCTTACTCCCACCATATAAACTGGGTTAACATATGCTAAAGAATTATTAAAGCAATACATGATATGACCATAAGAACAAAATACACACACAAAAAAAACCTTATTTTGAAAACTGAGAGGAAAATTAATACTTACTCTGTTCTCCAGGTCCAAAATTGGACTGCTGAGACTCCTAAGAAAAAGGTACATAAAATTATAGTGACATTAAGAGAAAAAGGTTCATTAGTAGAAAATGTTTCAAATTAAACTATTTAATGATCCCCTCTGATCAGTCCTGGCAATTTAGTGGTCAATAATGGACTATCCGGATTTTAATGCAAAAAGCATCAAACTACCTAATAGTCTTTATCACTCATTTCAGCATCATCCATGGTACTTATATACTAAATTAGAGCCTGGGGAAGCAATAATTTCAATTTAAGATTCTTGATCTTAAGAAAAAATTTAATTAAAAATAAAACAGTAATACTGAAAACCATATACCAGGATGAAAATAACTATACAACTGATTTAAATCCAAAGGGTTATTCTTATATCATTTTTGCTCCTTTCCTGTTCCCAGTATCTTATATTTAGCAACTTAAGGGAATATTGTCCTTGTAAACCTTCCAGTAGCACAAAATGGCTGGCAGTGTAAGCACCAGTAAAAAGCAAGCCAAAATGTCAGTGTCAGTGAAAGAAATATGGTTTTCCAAAGTCATGGTCAGAACAGCTGCTTTGCATGTGCAAACTGAGCATTTTTCTAGTTTAAGTCTGTGGTACATAATGTAGTACTAAAATTACACAAGCATCCCTGCAAGCCTACTTAAAAATAAGCACAATTTCCTTCAATTTCAATGACTGAATTGTCTGTGAAAGAGAAATCCCAACAGTGAGATGATAAAATACAGTTTTGCTATTAAAAAAATGCTATATACCTACATCTACTGTCAAATGATTTTCAACAAGGGTGCCAAAAGAAAACAACAGGAAGGAATAAGCTCTTCAACAAATGGTGCTCGGAACAGTCATACAAAAGAATGAAGCTAGATGCTTACACCTCAGGCAATATTTAAAACAAATCAAAATGGATCAGACACTTAAATTTAAAAGCTAAAACTACAAACTCCTAGAAAAAAATATAGTACCTAATCGTAACAATCTTGGATTTGGCAAAGAAATCTTGTATGTGACACCAAAAGCACAAGATATAAAAGAAAAAAAAAAAGGAAGATAAACTGGACTGTATAAAATTAAGAACTTCTGTTCTTCAAGGGACACCCAGCAAGCGAAAGACAACTCACAGAATGGAAGGAAATAAATGCAAATCAGATATGTGATAAGGGACTGGTAGTTTAATATAAAGTTCTTACTAATGGTAAAAAGACTATCCAGTGAAAAAGAAATGGACAAAGGATCTGAATAGACATTTCCTCAAGGAAGATAACTGGTCAATAAAGCACATGAAATGATGTTGTTTGACATCATTAGTCACTTGGAAATGCAAATTAAACCACAGAGATATCACATCATACCCATCAAGATGACTAGAATAAAAAGATACCATCAAGTGTTGACAAGAAGATGAAGAAATTGGAAGCCTAGCGGGAATGTAAAATATATAGTAGAACTGCTTTGGAAAATTTTCTGGCGTTGAAATTAAATAGAGTTACCATATGATACAATAATTCTATTCCCAGATATACAACCAAGTGAAATGAAAACATATGCCAAACATCTGTCCACATTAAAACTTTTGCACAAATGTTTACAGCAACATTATTGATATGAGCCAAAAGCCTGAAACAACCCAAATGACAATGATGAATATATAAACCAAATGTGATACATGTGCATATAATACAATAATGTTTGTCCAACAAAAAAAATTAACTACTGATACATGCTACAACTTGCAAGAACTGAAATCATTATGCTAAGTGAAAGAATGCAGTTGCAAAAGACCACATAGCATAAGATTCTAGATACAGGAAATATCCAGAAAAGGGAAATATATAAACAGAGAATAGGTTAGTAGTTGCACAGGGCTGGGGAAAGGACAGAAAGTAGTAGGTAATAACTAAAGAGTAGGAAGTTTCTTTCAGAGGAGGTGAAATGTTCAAACTTGACTGTGGTGATACTATCTATAAATATACTCAAAACTATTTAATTGTACATTTTAAATGGGTAAATTATATGGTATGTGAATTACCCCTCAATAAAGCTACCTTAAAAACCAAGAGAGGGCCCTCCCTGGTGGCGCAACGGGTTAAAGCACAACACAAAGAAGCTTAAGCCACTTCTGCCGGCATGAGTGGCATGAGTTGGCATGAGTCCGCATGAGTTCCACCCTCCACTTGCCCCGGAGGAGATACACATGGAGAGGGAGCCCTCTCCTGACCCACCCACTGGCTCCCTTTAGCAGTGTACTTCGCCAATCTGCCTGTTCTGTATCCCACTCTGTCTCTGGTGAATACTCTGACCCTCCGCATCTCTGGCCTGTACCCCAGTTCTGTACGAATAAATAAATCTTAAAAAAAAAAAAAAAAAAAGCCCAAGAGAGAATTGCCAAGGGGTTATTCCTGTGAATATGTTTGAAAATTAAAACAACTCTCCATCACACCCCTTGAATTGCTAATTATCTTATACTCATTTACCTGGTAAGTGACCTAAAAATTAAATAATCCAAGCTTTCACGTAATCTTCTTCTACTTTCCTTTACCTTTGACAAGTTGTTAATCTAGTTACCGGAACAATCACTTGTCTCCAAAACATCTGATTCAACTCAGTGCTATGTCCTTTCCAAATATATAGCCAGATTCCAAGTTCTAACTTTTTTTCATCTGCAACAGTCATCTATTAGGTCTTCCTGACTTGATTCTCTCTCCTTCACTCAACTATAGTTTCAAGTTGACTCAACAAATCTTAGCAGTTATGTTATCATCATAACTGCTATTTTTTACAGTGCCTCTTTGTTTTTCCTAGGTATGAAAACCAAATTTTTTTTTGTTTTTGAGAAAACTTTTCATTGGATATTCAAGTGTTTGTACCTTTCAAACAAAGTTACATTCAAGATTGGAACTTCATAAAAATATTTCTGGACATACATAAAATATATCTTCTCCAGAGCTAAGATGTAAGAAGCTGGGCGAAGACTCCTCTTTTTATCATATATGCCAAAATTATATATTAATCAAAATTAACTTTTTGACTGTTATAATGTGATCAAATTAAGAGGTTTTTGGTAAGTACAAAAAAAAATTAAAATATTTTTTATACACTTAGGTTGAAGGAAATATAAATAAAATGAAAATAAATGCTCTTGATGTTACACTGCAATAAGTAACACATAGGAATACCTATATTTCTGAATATATTCCTGTATTTTTTTTATATAATAGTTCGCTTTTACATCGTTTTGTGCATTTTTCCATCTCAGTTGTAATCCCCATGGGCTTCCCATCCCTAAATCACCCATGTGCCACCACCATAGTCCAGTGCATTTCCCTCCCCACACTGTTTTTGATCCCATTCCCTACTCCACTTCCATAAAATGTCTCTGGTCTATAGCTGTTCATTATTATTATTATTATTTTCTTGCCTGGTCCGTTATACTCCTGCTATGAGTGAAACCACCCGGTATTTTTCCTTTTCTTTCTGGCTTATTTTACTAAGCATGATCTTCTCCAGCTCTATCCATGTTGCTACAAAAGACATGTGTTTCTTTTTTTTGGTTGCTGAGTAATATTCCATTGAGTATACGCACCACATCTTTTAATCCAATCATACACTTTTGGGCATTTGGGCTGTTTCCATGTCTTTCCAATTGTAAATAAGGCAGCAATAAACATGGGGGTGCAACCAAACTCTTTTTTTTTTAATGATTTATTTTATTACGCATACAAGAACTGGGATGCAAGCCAAATGTGGGGGGGGTTGAGAGGGTAGAGACAGAGTGGGGAACAGAACTGGCTCCAGATCTACTGAAATACACTGCTGAGGGGAGAAGCAAGGGAGACAGGAGAGGTCTGCTGCGCCATGTGGATCACCTTCCTGGCTGGGGATTGGACTCACGCCTCAGTGGCTGCTGAGAGATAGCTTGATAGTGCCGAGACTTTAATTCCTGCACCATCAGGGGGGCCGAAACCCAAACTTTTTTGATATGACACACATATCTAAGTACTGGAGAAACAGAATAATAGCAAATATAGATAAAAGACTTGTCCTACCAAAAAAATAAAAAATAAAAAGCCTTGTCCTCATGGGTTTAACACCCAACTGAATAATGTCAGTAGCTTGGCAATTATACAAATAAAGGGAAAATGGCAATTGTGAAATGTACAATAAAGGTTAATACATAACATAACACTATTTTATAAGAGCTTATAATTAACTGTGTATATGTAGGTGGTGAGGGGAGGAGGAGGAGGAAGAAAGAGCCAATAATGGCCAAGAAGATGAGGAAAGGCAACCCTCAATTTGAGAACTGAAGGATTTATAAGACGCTAAGATAGGAAAGGAAAGGTACAGTTCAGGGCAAAGAACAGAATGTGTAAAGGCCAAAAAGGGTGTTAGGTGTACAATAACAAAGGGAGAAAAAAGTCGTAAGTTGGAACTACCAGGAGCACAGGTACTTTTACCCACTTCCAATAACTATTTACTTTAGTAATTGTTTCCCTTATCTCCAGTTTTGCTATGGAAGCTTATATCAATATTGTTTCCTGACTAAGAAATGCAATTTAAGTTCGTGCTCTCTGTACTGAATTTCAGTCATTTTCACTGAAGCAAAAAGACCAAATTTTTGATAAAGGTATAGAACACTCGAGGGGTTTTTAATAAAAATTTAGTAGTCTTGATGCATGTTCAAGGTGAACTGAGTACTACACAACCCAAACTAAAACTAAGTATGAGTCAGGACGCTTTCAAAATTTCTTCACTGGTTACTATTCCCAAGGCACATTATACAGGAAAGCAAGGTTAATGATATAAAAACACCTGAACTAGTGATATATATTTTTTTTTCAATGATCAGGGCATCCTATTTCTAATTTATACTGTGGTAGATAAAGAGCTCCCAGTAGGAAATTCTCAGGCTGGCCATTTTTTTGCTTGCTCAGAAATGTACTTTAGTGTTATCTTCAACAATAGTTTCACTGCAGATATATCTTTAAAGCCGCTTGTGCATTAATTAAG